GCTAGAGCCTAAGAAAATTGAGGCAATAAAAACTTGAGAAGTACCAAAAACTTAGAAAGGAATTAGGTCTTTTTTTCGATCTAGTAAACTACTATAGAAAGTTCATAAGAAACTTTTCAAAGATTTCCAGTCTCATGAAAAGTCTCTTGAAAAAATAAAATAAGGCCATAAAATATGATATGGATTATAAAGAGTCTTTCTAAAAGATCAAAGATGCTTTGGTTTCAAGTATAGTCTTGTTCTATCTTCAATTTGAGAAGGAATTTGAAATCCATATTAGTGTAAATGATTTTGTAATAAGTGGAGTCTTAATACAAGAGAAAAGATCCATTAATTTTGAGAATAAGAAGCTAAATAGAAGCAAGTTAAGATTGCCAACACATAAGAAAGAGTTATTTGTAGAAGTGTATTGTTTAAGGACTTGAAACACTATTTGGAAAGTAGAAAAATCAAGATATATATTGACAATATTTCTCTTAAGTATTTTAGTTTAAAGACACAAACATCTCCTAAAGAATTGAGATGATATGATTTGATAGTTTCAATGGATATTGAACTCATCCACAAACCATACAAAGATAAGTTAATGTAAGATGCACTAAGTAGAAGGGAAGAATTTATGAGAGAAAAACTCTATGATTTAATGTCACTAAAGACCATAGTATATTGTGATGATTTCCCACTTTTCAAAAGTATTAAGAAAGACTATAAATAAGATGAAGATATACTTGAAATAAGAAAAGCATTTATTCAAACCAAAACTATAAGAGAGCAAAGAAGACTTATGAGAGTTTTTTCTAAAATAAATGGACTTATTTGATTTAAGAAAACTAGATTCTATATATCACAAGGCAAATAGAAAAAGAAAGTAATGTATGAAGTGCATGATTCTCTATGTGGGAGACATAGAGGTATAAAGACTACATTGAAGGATGTGGCAAAGTCTTACTATTGGCCTTTGATAAGAAAAGATGTCAAGCAATATGTAAGAAGTTGCTTAGTGTATTAAAAAAAAAAAAAAAAAAAAAAAAAAAATCTACACAAACAAAGGTAGGATTTTTGGAACCATTGCCTATTTCATTTCTACTATATAGATGTATTTCAATCAACTTCATAATTAACTTATGAAAGCATGATGAAGCTATCTCCACATTGATTGTTGTAGATAGATTTAGTAAGATCGCTTGATTTATACTAATGACAATATTTTCAAAAGACTTCAAAGAAGAATTGGAAATTGCTCTAAAAATGACATCAAATCTCTTCTTTGATGGATGGATCTCTTTGTATGGAGTACCAACTTCAATTATGAGTCATAGAGATGTGAAATTCACAACTCAATTCTAGCAATATATCATGAGAAAATTAGGTTCGAAGATGATACTCACTACTACTTAGCACCTATAAGGAGATGGCCAAAATAAAAGAATCAATGGAGTTCTTGAATATATCTAAAGCACTATGTGGCAAGTAACCATAAGAATTAGATTAAATAGTTCCACATAGTTGATTTTAGTTTTAATACTACTCAAAGTAAATTTTTAGCAAATACACCTTTCTAAGTGGTTTATGGCTTTCATGCACTCAAGCCAATTGACTTAATAGGAATTAGGCAGAGTGATGAAATCACTTCGGATTTTATTCAATTGAAAGAACAAGGTGGATGGCCAAAAGAGAGGCCTTATTGAAAATTATGAAAGTTAGATTGGAGTTAACTCAAAGTACATATAAGAAATAAACTCATAAACATAGGAAAGATGTACATTATGAAAAAGGAGTTAAAATGTAGTTGAATAGTAGTAACGTCACTTATCCAACACACCTCACTTTTAAATGGATCCAAAAATAGGTAGGTCCTTATGTGATCAAAAGAGTATTACACAAAAATGTCTATATGTTAGACATATCAAAAAGAATGAAGTGATATCGAATGTTCCATATAATTATCTTTAAAAAATTTGTAGAAGCCAAAAGAGGCTTTTGCAAAGAAAAGACACAATATTGTATTATGTGTATTCTTGCTTGAAAACGATGTCGAGGTAGAGAGAGTTTGCCTCAAGAAAGCATTGGGCTTTTAGCTGCCACTAAATACTCAATCAAGTCTAAGATATAAAAAACCAAGTTTATACATATAATATATTCTTTTTTTAGGATATTATATCAAAACACAAGCACAAGTACCAAGAAAACATCTAAATGTATGATAAAGATCTTAAAACCTTATATATCCTCATGAAAGATGTTTCTTGAACTTCAACAATTCATATCTCATGATCAGACTATCCAAACAATTCTAAATTTTACATAAAGTATTGATATACTTTCAAAAACTTTCACAAAAAAATCAACTGCAAATTCATTACGGATCTTGAGATATCGCCAAAACCCTAACAATAGCTTATTTACACCTGCATGCTAATTTCTTCATATCTCACAAAATAAGTATTCAAATACCATGAAGCTTTGATCTATAGCTTCTTAACTTAATACCTCACACCTATGGAAATTTTGAGCCAAAAATTCGTCCAAAAACTCAAGATATGGCTCCAACCATTACTATCAATAATTTGACTCACTTACTGCCTTTGAATTACATGTGCTGTCTTCAAATGTCTATAACTCCTTCATCCAGAATTGAAATTCATCAAACAGTATATGTAAAGTGAAGTAAAAAAAGTGTCCTCTCCAACTCTAGTCGCCGATCTTTCATTGCTCTCTGTACGCATATGTTATGCTTCAAAGAGTGACAATAGGTACAAATTTGACACCTTAACTTTGAACACCTATATCTCCTTCACAAAAACTCGAAATCACACAAACTCTTTATCCAAATTATACCCAAAATCCTAAAATTTCTGACCCTAGCCTCCAAAACTCGAATGATCTCGAAAGAGAAACCCTAATCCCTAATAGGGCCTCAGGCAGCCTCCTTGAAGCCCATTGTATATGAGCTTTGACCAATAGGAATGAAGTTTCCCATTCTTTGCCTTCATCCAACCATGCCTTGCTTTCATCCCTTCCAATAAGCCTCCTATTAGTTAAGATTTTCTTCTTTAGGTTCTAATCTCCTCTCAAGGTTCCATACTAAACATTTAGGTTCAATAATGTTTTTTTTTTTTTTTTTTTTTTTTTTTTTTAAATGCTATAAGTAAAAAAATAAACTCAAAATAAAGTTTCTTAAATCCACTCTCTTTAAATTAATCTATTTAACCATTCTAACATACACCAAGTCTTATGAACATATTATATGTTCTAACTAATTTTTATATACTGTAAATTTTTACAGTACGACAATGCACCAAGCGCTTGGCTGTAGAAGGTAAGAAGAAATGCAACAACAATCCTACCAAGTCTAATAGAATCTTAAATAACCTTAAGTAGACCTTAATAATTTTGATTGAACTTTGACCAATTGAAAATAAAATTAAAAAAAAGTTATAAAAGAAATACAAAGAAGTTCCAAACTAATTCGAAAGAAAAATAATAAGAAATTTTAAAGAAATATAAAAATAAATATTTTAAAAAATAACAATAATCTTTTTAAATACTAAAAATAGAAAATTTAAAAGAAATAATAAAAAATTAAATAAATATTAGAAATAATTTTTTATTATAATCTTAATTAAAATCCTAATTAAACCTTAGGTCAAGCTCGCTGAGTGGCTCACAGAGTCGTGGCAGGACTCCCAAGGCCGTGGCGAAATCCAGAGTAGCTGCAAGACTTCCAGAGTCGCGACGGGGTTTACAGGGTCGCGCTGCGACTATCGGTCGTAGCGGGATCGTTGATCGCCGACCGACGGATCTAGGGACAATCTCCGGATAGGACGATTCCTGGGTCCGGTTATGGATCCTTGGAGCTGCTGCGGGTGGTTTGCGTTGTTTGTATTGTGTTTTCCCGTGACATACCTTCTTTGTGTATGTTTCAGGTTCAAAGTGAGAGCTAGAAGAAAGAGGAGCGTTACATTTCATTGGATAAATGGACAGTGTATTGCAAAGATTAAAAGCTAGCCGAGTTCAACATCCTCTCAACTCTAGAGCATGTCACAGTTTTGCTGGATGTCCTGCTAAGTGGCCTCCGTTGTCTGATTCTTCGACTGGTCGTCTTGTAGAAGAGTTGGTCGCCAAGTTGAAAGATTCTGCTGGAACATGCCGAAGATAGTTACACAATGGGATGGAAGATATAGAAGGGCAAAATCCGGTCCAGGCAATTTGCGCAATATGTCTATCTTTCCGTGTCTCTGATAATAACATTCGCCTGCATAATATGAACTAATAACTTCACTTCAAGTAATGCTGTAGCACAGCTGCGGCTTGACCAATCCTGATGAACTGCTTTTGTATCATTCAACTTGTCAAGAAGACCAAATCGTAGAATCTAAAAACAGGCGCCAAAAACTGATATTGAAGCCAGTATTAAAATAAAAAATAATACAAATACACGAAATTCAAGGCGACAAATATATCCGTTTCAGAATTACATTAAAGAACAGATAATATGCAAGCCCAGGTCATCATGGAGCTTCCAACAGTAACTATAGCGCGGTAATTTCAAACCACCCATACTTCAAAATTATTTACGACAATAAAATACCTAACATCCACTGCATAACCTCTCACTCTAATATTAACAAACACGGAACCCGAGGGGTAAGAACGACCCAATGCTGTGAATTGCGAAAAAGGTTGCGCCAAAGCCAGGGGCTGGTTCCGGCGGGTATTGACCAAAGGAGAGTGGTGCAGCAAGTATAGGCTTCACTTATCCCATTGCAGACTCCATGCCTGAACATGGATGCTCTTTCTCCCTCCCCCTTACGCAGCGCCTCCAGCATACGCGAGAGTGGTGTGCTCCTTGGAGGACGTGTCTGTGCACGAGCTTGCTTCTCACCGTCGCAGGGGTCGTGGGTTTTGGAGCTTCTTTGGACGCCTCCCCAGCTTTGAAGCTGCTTTCAGCCTGTGGAGTCGCCACCTTCGGCTGTGGTCGTGGCAGCAGGTTCGTTGGAAAAGCAACCCGTTCTTGTCGTGATTGGATTGGAGAGAGCCCGCGGTGAGGGTGATTGCGCGCTGGATCGGAGATGGGTTTGTCGAGAAGTTGGGTGATGGCGTCGGAAGTCGGTGGACTGGATTCCTTTGCCTATCTGTCCGTAGCTCCAGGTTTCCGTAGAGCGGGCGTAGAAATTGGGGGTGGGAGGTTTGCAGGGTCTGGGTGGTTGTGTGGTTCGGATTGTGGAGATTCGGGGGGGATTGTCTGATCCCTAACCAATTTTGAGGTGGTACGAGTGACGTTGAGCGCACAGATGGGGATAGCTGTTAGGTTAAGCGGTAGAAGTGGAGCGAAAGGTGCACTGCCGGATTGCGGTGCGGATCTGGCACGATTCGTCGTTTTGCTCGATTGTGTGCGGGACGCGCCGTTATGGCAATAGCGTGGTGAGGCTTAGGTCGCGGATCTGTGCACGGTGGGTTGGGAAGCGGAGATTGTGCGATGGTCGATACAGGCACGGCTCTGTTTCAGGTGGAGTGTCGGCGGTGGGCAGGAGAGTGGTGGAGTCCCGGTTTGGCACTCTCAATTGACGGGCCACGAGGAATGCAATGTTGGTGAGGTCGTAGCGGTAATGCGTATGCGGTGGCTTTGCGTCGATGAGGAGGTTGAGATTGGTAGAATTTCCCAGTTGCGTCCGGGTTGCGAGGTTGCAGATAGGCGACAGCAGCAGCGAGTGGGGCAGGAGGTTGGGAGCGATGTGCGACACTGACGGGGTATGCGTGTGGCATTTGCAGGGGGTAGAGTTCGGTGGTGGCGGCGACCGGGCCGGTGGTTGTCGGCGCTTGGTACTTCCACTGGCCGAGCTGGTGGAGCTGCGGAGGCACGCTTGACATGGTGAGGGACGGCGTGTGGAGGTGCAAGGGTCAGTGGGAGACCTAAGCGCCCAGCCGATCCACGGGTGTGACGGATTTGTCTGGGCTGGGGTGCGCGAGGGTGGGTTGTTGGCATTGGTTCGGCGAGACGGGCGTGGGCGGCGTTGGAAGGGGAGAGAACGGAGCGCAGGTGGATCGCGAGTGTGAGTGATGGCGGAGAGGAACGGCAGCCCTCTGCTGGGGCGGCAGAGAAGCGTGGGCATGCCTCCTCCGCGATCCGGGCAGGGGGCGGGGTCGGGGTCGGGTTCGATCAACTCCGTGAAGAAGAGCCAGAATTACGCGGCCAAGGCCGCGGCAGCGCGGCTGGCGCAGGTGATGCAGGCGAATCGCGATTCCATAGACGACGAGGAGGAGGACATGGACATTCCCCGTTACAGTCCTTACATCCCGAGCGCGAGGGATTCTTCGAGGGATCAGTCTCCTCACTTGGCTCCCAGGGGGCGGTATGACAGCAGTCCTGCGACTCTGGGGAGCACGTTGCGGCCGTCTGCGAACCCCCGGGGTGCGCTGCGGCCGACGACTCTGGTCGCTGCACAGCAGGCTGCAGTGCAGCGACCGCGGCCGGTGCTGCCCCCGGCTGCGGCGAGGTCGACGTCTCCGACGCCCGAGCCGCTGGTGGATCGCGCGCGGAGGTTCTCGTCCGATTCGCTGCCTTCGTCGTCTGGGAGCGGGCGCGATTCGTCGGGACCGAATTCGAGGAGAGAAACGGCCGCTCTGCGCGACGAGATTGACATGCTGCAGGAGGAGAACGAGACGCTGCAGGACAAGCTGCGGATGGTGGAGGAGAGGTTGGCGGAGAGGGAGCTGCGGTCGCGGGAGCTGGAGAAGCAGGTGACCGCGCTGGGAGAGGGGATCTCGCTGGACTCGCGCATTCTGAACAGGAAGGAGCAGTTTCTGAAGCAGCGCGAGGCCGCCCTGAAGGCCGCGAAGGAGCAGAGCAAGGATGTGAAGGACGATGAGATCGCGGCGCTGCGGGAAGAGGCGGAGATGGCGAGGGAGGAGGCGGTGGCGGCATCGGAAGCGGCTCGGGAGGTGGAAATCGAAGTGAAGGCGCTGCGGACGATGACGCATCGGATGATTTTGACGCAGGAGGAGATGGAGGAGGTGGTGCTGAAGCGATGCTGGCTGGCGCGGTACTGGGATTTGGCGGCGAAGCAGGGGATACACCCAGAGATCGCGTCGGGGAAGTCGGACTTCTGGTCGTCGCTGGCGCCGCTGCCGCTGGAGGTGGTGCTGTCGGCGGGGCAGCGCGCGAAGGAGGAGCCGAGAGGCGGGAGCCGACAGAGCGCGGCAGCGAATGCGACGAAGGGGAGGACGCGGGACGTGAACGACATCACCGGGGAGGGCAACATCGAGAGCATGCTGGCGGTGGAGAAAGGGCTGAGGGAGCTGGCGGCTCTGAAGGTGGAGGACGCGGTGATGCTGGCGCTGGCCCGTCACCGGCAGAAGGCGGACGCGCGGCAGTCGATGGACGGGCTGAAGGGGCCGGACGCATTCGAGCTGAGCCCGGCGGAGGTGGAGGAGGTGCAGTTCAAGCAGGCGTGGTTGGTGTACTTCTGGAGGCGCGCGAAGACGAACGGCGTGGAGGCGGACTACGCGGACGAGTGCATACAGCTGTGGATCAGCCGGGCGATGATGCAGCCGACGGTGCGCGACCTGGTGGACGTGGAGCGCGGCTTGATGGAGCTTCAGAAGCTGGGGGTAGAGGAGCAGCTGTGGAACGTATCGCGGAGGGAGATAGCGAACGAGGCCGCGAACCAGAAGGTGGATGTGCTGGAGGCGCTGCAAGCGCCGAGCAGCTTGCAGAGGGTGACGAGCGCGCCCACTCTGCAGTAGGGGGGGGGGGGGGGGGCAACGTGGAATTTTTTAGGCCCACGTTGGCGCGATAGTTTAGGACGGGGGCACACACGGAAGAGGAGCCCACAGTGAGGGGAGCGGGAGAGAGCCCGGACATGAGCGGCAGATTGTTGAGTTGAGGGAGGTAGGGCGGCGGAACGGGGCAGAAATTCGCAGGGCCGTTTGCAGTGGCAGTTGCGGTGGGCGGCGGTGCAGGGAGGAGGGTGGTGCGAACGGGAGCGTCGGAGTCGTGATGAATGCGTGAAGTGGAGCATGAGCGTGGCGGGATGACAATGCCAGGGCTTTTGGGGTGGGACTGGACGCGAGTGCAGTGGAGAGGAGGAGTTTGCGGGATGGTGGGGTTGGAGGAGGGCGGATAGTGAGGAGCAGTGCTACTTGGAGGGGGGGGTGTTGGAAGCAATGCAAACACGGGAGGCTTGACGGCGTGGGTGAGATGTTTAGATCTCGGCCTTGAATGGTGCGGGAAAGGACAGTGGAGTGGAGGTGTGGTTTGTGGAGGTGGCGGAGGTGGAGCAGTTGGTGATATGGGAGGAGTTCTGGTAGGTGGCAGCACAAAGTTTGTAAAGTGAAGGGCCGGCGGTGTGAAGGTAGTTGAGTGGTGGTAAGGTTACAGCATTGGAGCGGAGGAACCATCGTGAGCGCTCGACATGTTAGAAGGGGGTGTCACTTGCTGGAGGTACGCAATTGGCGTCGGGGGTGGAGTCCCGTGAGTTCGTTGTCCAGTTATTTCGACCCCTTGGCAGGCTGGACTCAGGACGCTGGGTATGACGCAGTGAACGGTGGAGTGGTTTAGGGACATTCTGAACAATGACGTGGTGCTGCGTAGTGTAGCGTAAACGCGAAGGCATGATAGTGATGGCAGCCGTTGACGCCGTGGGTGCTGTATTTGAAAGAATCAATTTCAACAGGCGGAGGTTTAGCTTGGAAGTGTAGGGAACTTGTGCAAATGCGACGACTAATGAGCTTAGAGATGGATGATGCAGGATTTGTTTGCAGTCCTTCATAGGGATGTTTTTACTCTGCTTTTTTCTCTCAACGCAGTTTCTCGAGAAGTGTGGAATGAGATGTTTATTCAATTTTTGAAATGTAATCGTGGCAGTTTAGCGGATATCTTTTACTAGTTCTTGCGTGTTTCGTCGCTTTCGTTCCACTGGCTCCCCAGCAGTGGCGCTGGTGTGCTCTTTATCCGACAGTCAGCAGGATTCAGCTGATTTAGCAGGCTTCTTTTAGGTCCCTTCAATGCAAGTTTGTCTCAGTGTTGTCAAACCATTGATGATGTCTTGCGGGGTAATTAGACCTCAACTAATCTATAATTAGGTAATCGGATTGCTTTGGTTAGAGAGAGTAGAGACGATGTCATTCGTTTTGGTATCGTGTTAGAGTTATTTGCTTCGTGGTATTTAATATTGTTATTGATGCGTTAAGCACCATGGTTTGATCATGATGAATTGAAATTTGAGTATCGTTTTTAATAATCGTTTGTGGTAGGAGATCTAGTTGATTGTTAAGAAAGTTGCCTAATAAAGTTGAATTGGACAATGATTTGGGAATTTTCCTCAGCAATGCCCATGTCTAATGTATTAGTACATTTGTTTTTCTTTTCTTTTCTGGTTTATGCACAGAAATGGATGGTATTTTTATTTTATTTTATTTTATTTTTGTCTGGTTTCACGGCCTAGAAGAAGGGGTGTTGTTTTTGTTACAACCATGGGTAAGTGTCGGCATTAAGAAAGATTTTGGAACAAAGTGGACTACTTGTTACAATTATTTTATACCAAGTGATGTTTTCAGTAGTTCCAATGCAAAAGACCCATTTTGCACTCTAGGTTTTGACTAATGCTTCAAAATTGACATTTTTACCAGAAGAATTTTATACTTTGTTTTAGGTGTAATCAATAATGTCAGAATACCTTGAACCCTTAAGGTTTTTCAGCTATCTCGGGGGGGTTTGGAAAAAAGTTGTTTTGAGTGGAGAAATAAGGTTCTGACGGGCTGCAGAAATTGAGTGGTTGAATTGATAAAAATTATTAAAGCAGTTTTTGCATTTCATCCATGAACCGAGTCATAGACTTGAGAAAAACCATCCATAAGAATAGGTTAAACCACCACTTTCATCACATGAAAACACTGCCTTCATTGTTGTGAAGCTTACCGATCATTGGTGGACTTGGAATCCACTTGAAATCCTCCTACATTCTTTACAGCGGTTTTGGGTTTGCATAAGAGTGGTTTCTGACAAGGTGTACGAGTAGGTTCAAGATCTTGACATGGTATAAAGTATTCCTACATTAATGATCTTCTATATACAAAATTTATATCTCAGACATTTAACATGGTGAGAGATTTTACCATTGTGTTTAATTCTCATTATTTAAAGATTTTTCTTGAAGAACCAAATGTTAACTTAAAGATAGGATGTCTATTATATATGTTTTACAATAGAAGTTGAAGAAGGGGATGTCTTTTGCAAGTATTTATAATGATGGCATAGTCTAGTAATGAAGCAAGGAGTTTTTGTCTTGTTTTGATAAAGTGATAGAAGAAGTGCGTCTTTAGCAAGCTAAAACATAAAAGATTAATCTTTAAGAAAGGCATTAAATTAGTAGAATAATTTGGCTAGAAATATTTCGACATGAATGTGGCATAAGAAATACACTTTGTTTCATAATTCAAACAATTATAGCTATTTTGAATAATATTATAGTAAGAATTACTATCTTTGTTTGATTCCATCTATGATGAAATAATGGTTCCTATTACTGTCACATTTAGATAGAGACATAAGTTTAACTTTTTTAAAACTCAACAAAAAAAAATACATCCTTGTAACTCATTTAAACCATCAAAGTAAATAGCACATAAATATCTAGGTCTATAATAAAATCAAATAGGGAGAATGACACATGAACCTAAAACTCTAAGTTTGTAAAAAAAAGATTTTTTTTTCTTAGTTTTAGAGAATCTTCTAAAATTCTAAAGTTTGGAACCATTTTTGGAAGAAATTGCAAGTATGAAACAAATATATTAAGTGATTTGAATATATTAATCTTACTTCAAATGGGACAATAGCCAAAGATCCAAAGTTCCAAGTGTCTTTTAATTCATAAAGATCCATATGAGTTATCTTTGTACAAGCTTTAAAAAATCAGTTTGTATAGAGGGGATTGCTTTTAATTACTATCAAGTAAAATTAAAGATTTTTTATATTTTTGAAATGAAAAAAATTTAGAAGTAGAAATTCAAATTGATATAAAGTTTAATATAAGACTATGTCTTGACTTTTTTTTAAAGCCTTAAGTATATGGAACATTAATATCAAGCTTGCATATTATATTTTAATCTTTTAATTTTAATTTTAGTATAAAAATTTAAGCTAAAAAACTTCTAACTAATACTACAATAACATTTTCAAATTTGAGTATTGAGGATAATATGCAAGTTAGATCTATTTTCAAACAAAGTGATATTTACTACTTAGAACTTAATAAGATATAATCTCCTTTTTGGTATTTTATAAAAATACATGGATTACACCTCATGGATGCTACTAGAGTATATGTTTCTTATTTATAAAAAAAAATTCAAGAAAATTTTAGATTTTTAAAAATAATAAAAATTATTAATATAAAGATAAATTTACAAATAGCAATAAAAGTTGATTGGTTTAAAAAAATTATTTATTAATAAGAAAGGATTTTCTTATGTGTAAATCTTTGATTTTTTTATAAAGCAATAATCTACTTGTAGAAAATTGATTGCTAGTAGAAAAAATGTGACAAATCTTTAGACAAGTTTTTTCTTATGCCTAAGACTAGTATAAAGAGCAAACTATTAAGTACATTTAATCTTGTTAATGCAATATGAATCTAGTGTCTAGAAATATATTTTGAATCTACAATCTATACAAAAATTTCATAAAGAGCAACGAGATTGTCAATTAATAATGACTCAACTTTTATGTTGCATTAAGTAGCATCTATATATTACAAGATAGATTGATTATGTTAGCCTTTTCATAATTAGATTCTTCAAATAAGATTTTGAATAGTAGAATCATTGATTAAGTATGTAAATAAATATGATGTCAAAAGGCACCTAAAAAAACCATTTTAAAATGATTTTACAAAGAACTTTATTTCACATTCAAATTTACAAAAATGTATATTGGTCTTCTTTATGAAAAAAAAAGGTGGATCCTTATACATATGTATAGATTATTGTAGACTTAAATAATTAACCATTTAAAATTATTATTCTTTACTTTTGATTTTGAATTTTCTTCATCAATTGAGTGAAGCTAAAATCTATACTAAGATAGGTCTATAAGAATCTTACAATTTAATACATATTTTAAAAAAGGGAATAAGTGAAGAATTACATTTCAAACATTATATGGGCATTTGAATATAATGTCATATTTTTTGGACTTATAAATGCTCTACCAACTTTCTAATATTTGATGAATGATGTTTTTTGTAAATTTTCAGATAAATTTGTCTTATTTTATTTAGATGATATTTTTATCTATTCCAAGAATATAGAAGAATGTGAACAATAGCTTTGTCTTGTATTACAAAAACAAAAAATATTGCAAAATTATACACCACAATAGAATAATGTATCTTTTATCCACTACACATAGAATTTTGTAATACTTCATCTTAAATAATGGTTTGCAAATAGATTCTAAAAAATTTTGTGTGGAATATCACAGTTGAATGAAAATATGACATCAGGAAAAGAAGGTAGATGATTTAAATATTTCTCTCCAACACACTTGCAACATGCTTTGTTTCATTTCAGTGACTTATTGTCTTGTTGCAAGAGTCCTCCCATCAAGCTTTTGTCTCATTGAGAATGTGTAAGGAACAAAACGTAGTGCAGAGTACTTATGTGGAGAAAGGATGTGTATTACTAGATCATGCCAGGCATGCACCGTATTGCAGTGGCAACATCAACGTCCGCAATTTTATGACGAATGTGAAGGAGAAAGATGTACAAAGCCTCGGTGCAGCAACAAAATGATGGAAAAGAAAAAAAAAAACTCCTTTGAGGTACTATTCATGAATAAATATGCGTTTAACTTTCTATCCGTGCATCCTGCTGGGGGAATTGGAATGTTATTACTACAACTGTTGCAAACTCAATCTCGACAAATGTACTGCACATGAATGTCTTCAACCCAGCAACATATTGGCCGGTTGCGACCCTCCAGCTCATCACCAGCAGCGCTGGTTGCTCGAACAGCCTGGACGTCGTACTATTCCAGGCAGCAATTATTCCACGCGATTCGCCATATAAAAGCAATCTCATTGAAAACGCCCCCAATTCGAAGAGGTAAGCGTATTCCCTGCGACATGATATTGCTTTTCAACTCCCACCGCACAAACGCAACCGCTGCAATCGTGTCGGCCACAGCCTCCGCGGCGTCACCGTGCCAGTGCCACCTATTTCTTCTTCAAACCAATTAAAGGTAGCTTACGATCTTCAGGTAAATCACTATGTACACGGCAATCGTCACCACCGAAGATATGTGCTGCCAGAACAGAAGTGCCGAAGCCTCCCGCTCGCCGTACCCGCGCATGCTCGTCATCGCTCCAGACAGGATGGCTGTTGGCATCGTATGTTGCAGCAGAAGCACAAACATGAACATCTTGTCACCTTGTGGAACCACGCCTAGCTTGCACCCAAACAGAACCACTCCGATACCAATAGGAGGCAACAGCACTAGCCTAGTGACTGTGATACCGATTGTAGTCCTCAAACCAAGCTCGGAACTTCCCGGTCCTACTGACAAGGTCCCGCCCAGCACCAACATCACGCACGGCACCAGGGCCGCACCCAGTATGGTCAAACTGTCAGTGAACCACCCGAGCACCGCGTCGTCTCCGAACAACAGAGCATTCGTGCTGGGAAACATCCCCACCAAAATGGCCATCACCGAGGCTATAATTGGGGGCTGCATCAAGTGTTGGATCGGAGTCTTCTCCGCAACCACGCGGATCTTTCTCACCATGCGAGGCTCCGCAAGGCAACGAATTATTGCTCTCGGACTATCTCCTTCCACTGCAATGCCACCAAGCAATTCCCCCCAAACTCAGGAACATGGAATCGGGACCAGTCCATTAACAATCCATCACTCCACCCGCAATACCACTACTACAGTAGGAAGACTCGGAAGACCTATGAATGTCATGTCACAAAATAGTTAAAACCCGCATCCCTACTCCAGCTATCGCAGAGTAACTTGGATAACAGACCTCTAATGGGTATATTCTCTCTGCATTCCCACCACATCCAAAGCTAAACCTCCGCCTGCATGGCACCCATTGGTAAGTATTTCCACGTCTCCACGGACTTAGAGAATAGTAATTTCATGCTTCACTATCCACGCCCTGTGCCCTCGAGTATTCCTCACCTGTTGAGGTCTGAGATGATACTGAAAGGTTCCGAAAGAAACGTGCCAGCAAAGGCGTCCGCGAGTCTTCCGTCGCTGCATCCCTCACGTCCGGCCACTCGGCAGATATCACCGAAGGCATCGACTCGCCCGCCTCCCTAGATGCCACTGCCGCATCAACCCCTTTCACCGATGCATCCGACTCTGCTTCTTCTGAGACCAGCTCGTAGTAATCCATAGGTGGTTCCAGCATGTGATACACAAACGTGTAAATCACGATCACTGCGACCCACTGCGAGAAGGCTACGTACGCCACTCCTGACTGATTGCACCTGTATATCGATAGTCCCTACAAACATATATCAACAGAGACCTACACCCCCAATCCCGAGAAATATAAGCACAAACCCAAAGAGAATGCGTCCCGGCTTGAATCCCTCCAGCAAAAAGCAAAAATCCCAGGATACATACCTCTTGCCAAAAGGATGAGACTGCCCGTGGCATATCGACCCGACGATCGCGAGAGGAAGGTTGCCCGCGTTCCCGATCCCCGTCATCACCACCGTAAATCTGAAAAACCGCGCTGGTGGCTTACACACTAAAGCCACTATCACCCCAGCTATGCAACCTATGAAGTAACTCAACAACACGTTCACCGGAATGAACCACCAATGCGCCAGGTTAGAAAATGTCATTAACCCCCCGAGCTCCGTGAAGATCAGGCACGGCAGGAACAGAGCAAACACCAGCTTGCTCAGCAGCCTCGTCGCAGCAGGAGTGATGATATTTATCTTGGGTTGCGCCAGCAGCGTCCCCAATGCGCACATCGTCAGCACCTTCATCACCGGGACCACGGAGAGCTCGATCATGTCCTTCACCTCCGCTCCTAGTCGCACTGCCATCACCATGCTCTGCTCCGTCAAAATCCTCATTTTTCCGGTCGCTCCAACCCCGCCCTATCAGCCTTTACGTGCAAAATTCCTCCAATTCTTAGCTCAATTCCCACTCTATCCTACACCCTGATTCATCCTTCGCTATGGCTGCTCCATAGCTCCATCACGTAAATCTGCGTGCTAAAAACACTTGCGGACACGGAACACAACAATTCAGTTCAAATTAGCCGTGCCTCGTCGAGATTGAGGAATGTGATGAGGCAACACCAGGACGCTGTCAGATCCACACAAACTCAACCGACCCCTGCATCGGAGGCGCACGCACACAACCCAGGCCTACAAATACAAAAAAAATAAAATAAAATAAAAATAAATAAATAAAACACCAATGGAAACCCCACTCCATTCCTCTGCAGCGCAATTGCAAACCACAAACACTCCCACTAAGAACGACATCCGTGGCTTAGTACAGGCAAAGAGTTCGTGCCCGATCTGCTTACCCTCTAATGGGATGCAACATACGTCACCGTCTCGAAACCACCGCCTATCACATACAAAGCATACAGCACGACATCGACGATATCGGAGAATTCGAACATCGCATCGAAGGGTTGGTAACGAAATTCGCAACCCCCCTCCCCAACAACTTACACCAAAGGCTTACAACGCCAGAACAACCCCAGAAGAGGTAATCAAAAGCGAGTTCCACGCTGTCGAAAAGATTGATGTAAAAGCTCGACCAGCAAATTCACGGTTACCATTCGAGTAAAAGGAGTAGGCCTCCTGACTGAAATTAGAGATAAATTTTGGGACTCAGAAAATGCATGACGCTATCATGGATTCAGAAGACTTTAAATAGTCATCCAAACTTAATTATACTAAAATAAACCTCTCCATGTAGTGCCCTTGAATTACAAAAACCAATCGAAAACTCATAAGTTTGAACGTAATTCGTTTCAGAACATTAGTGTCACTGTGGAAATTCGGACATAAATGTTAAGCACGCACACCACAACCATGAAAAAATATCCTCATGGTAGTATTAAAATGATTTCCAGCCCTAAGAATAAGGGGGTAGTTTTTAAAACTTCTCTAAATATGCTACTTCAATAGTTATGCAAAGGTATTTCGGAAGAGCATGTTTTAAGCACATTGGTTCGTCTTCAAATTATTAAAATCGTTAGAGAGTATTTGCACAGTGCACATTCATTTTCTCAGAATGACGCATCCAGGATGAACCTGTGCAAGGTTCCATCAAACGTGCTTGCCATTTCACAGCACAGATTTCAGGCGCAGTGAAATTGGATGTGCATTACTCAAGAGTCCAAAACAGAAACGCCGCTAGAAGGGGAAATATGCGTGTTCGCGACCGGTGTATTTCGCATTTCCGTTGTGACAAGGCAAGACTCTGGCAGTAACAAATGCCACGCACACTAATTTAACCTATAAAATCAGAAGCCACCTTTACGGACGACATGAGCAGCTGGATAGCAGACAATAGCGACATTAAAACGACGATGCCGCGAAACCTGTAACGGAAATATTGCAGCGCATGTACGTCAATGAAAGAATTTTAATGAAATTGTATGTCCTGGATTGAAAGCACCATCCTTAAACTGAACCGCCTTTCCAGTCACAGCTCCATGTGGCAAATCCTGCGGACTGCAGGACAAACACCGATAAGCGCCCCTGGTGAGGAGCAGAAAGGGTAAATAAGCCATTCCCCAAAAGGCCAAACCCATGGTACAAACAACCTATCACCAAAATTGTAAGAATTAGAATTCCTACCTTTTCAACATCTCATTCCACACTTCTCGAGAAACTGCGTTGAGAGAAAAAAGCAGAGTAAAAACATCCCTATGAAGGACTGCAAACAAATCCTGCATCATCCATCTCTAAGCTCATTAGTCGTCGCATTTGCACAAGTTCCCTACACTTCCAAGCTAAACCTCCGCCTGTTGAAATTGATTCTTTCAAATACAGCACCCACGGCGTCAACGGCTGCCATCACTATCATGCCTTCGCGTTTACGCTACACTACGCAGCACCACGTCATTGTTCAGAATGTCCCTAAACCACTCCACCGTTCACTGCGTCATACCCAGCGTCCTGAGTCCAGCCTGCCAAGGGGTCGAAATAACTGGACAACGAACTCACGGGACTCCACCCCCGACGCCAATTGCGTACCTCCAGCAAGTGACACCCCCTTCTAACATGTCGAGCGCTCACGATGGTTCCTCCGCTCCAATGCTGTAACCTTACCACCACTCAACTACCTTCACACCGCCGGCCCTTCACTTTACAAACTTTGTGCTGCCACCTACCAGAACTCCTCCCATATCACCAACTGCTCCACCTCCGCCACCTCCACAAACCACACCTCCACTCCACTGTCCTTTCCCGCACCATTCAAGGCCGAGATCTAAACATCTCACCCACGCCGTCAAGCCTCCCGTGTTTGCATTGCTTCCAACACCCCCCCCTCCAAGTAGCACTGCTCCTCACTATCCGCCCTCCTCCAACCCCACCATCCCGCAAACTCCTCCTCTCCACTGCACTCGCGTCCAGTCCCACCCCAAAAGCCCTGGCATTGTCATCCCGCCACGCTCATGCTCCACTTCACGCATTCATCACGACTCCGACGCTCCCGTTCGCACCACCCTCCTCCCTGCACCGCCGCCCACCGCAACTGCCACTGCAAACGGCCCTGCGAATTTCTGCCCCGTTCCGCCGCCCTACCTCCCTCAACTCAACAATCTGCCGCTCATGTCCGGGCTCTCTCCCGCTCCCCTCACTGTGGGCTCCTCTTCCGTGTGTGCCCCCGTCCTAAACTATCGCGCCAACGTGGGCCTAAAAAATTCCACGTTGCCCCCCCCCCCCCCCCTACTGCAGAGTGGGCGCGCTCGTCACCCTCTGCAAGCTGCTCGGCGCTTGCAGCGCCTCCAGCACATCCACCTTCTGGTTCGCGGCCTCGTTCGCTATCTCCCTCCGCGATACGTTCCACAGCTGCTCCTCTACCCCCAGCTTCTGAAGCTCCATCAAGCCGCGCTCCACGTCCACCAGGTCGCGCACCGTCGGCTGCATCATCGCCCGGCTGATCCACAGCTGTATGCACTCGTCCGCGTAGTCCGCCTCCACGCCGTTCGTCTTCGCGCGCCTCCAGAAGTACACCAACCACGCCTGCTTGAACTGCACCTCCTCCACCTCCGCCGGGCTCAGCTCGAATGCGTCCGGCCCCTTCAGCCCGTCCATCGACTGCCGCGCGTCCGCCTTCTGCCGGTGACGGGCCAGCGCCAGCATCACCGCGTCCTCCACCTTCAGAGCCGCCAGCTCCCTCAGCCCTTTCTCCACCGCCAGCATGCTCTCGATGTTGCCCTCCCCGGTGATGTCGTTCACGTCCCGCGTCCTCCCCTTCGTCGCATTCGCTGCCGCGCTCTGTCGGCTCCCGCCTCTCGGCTCCTCCTTCGCGCGCTGCCCCGCCGACAGCACCACCTCCAGCGGCAGCGGCGCCAGCGACGACCAGAAGTCCGACTTCCCCGACGCGATCTCTGGGTGTATCCCCTGCTTCGCCGCCAAATCCCAGTACCGCGCCAGCCAGCATCGCTTCAGCACCACCTCCTCCATCTCCTCCTGCGTCAAAATCATCCGATGCGTCATCGTCCGCAGCGCCTTCACTTCGATTTCCACCTCCCGAGCCGCTTCCGATGCCGCCACCGCCTCCTCCCTCGCCATCTCCGCCTCTTCCCGCAGCGCCGCGATCTCATCGTCCTTCACATCCTTGCTCTGCTCCTTCGCGGCCTTCAGGGCGGCCTCGCGCTGCTTCAGAAACTGCTCCTTCCTGTTCAGAATGCGCGAGTCCAGCGAGATCCCCTCTCCCAGCGCGGTCACCTGCTTCTCCAGCTCCCGCGACCGCAGCTCCCTCTCCGCCAACCTCTCCTCCACCATCCGCAGCTTGTCCTGCAGCGTCTCGTTCTCCTCCTGCAGCATGTCAATCTCGTCGCGCAGAGCGGCCGTTTCTCTCCTCGAATTCGGTCCCGACGAATCGCGCCCGCTCCCAGACGACGAAGGCAGCGAATCGGACGAGAACCTCCGCGCGCGATCCACCAGCGGCTCGGGCGTCGGAGACGTCGACCTCGCCGCAGCCGGGGGCAGCACCGGCCGCGGTCGCTGCACTGCAGCCTGCTGTGCAGCGACCAGAGTCGTCGGCCGCAGCGCACCCCGGGGGTTCGCAGACGGCCGCAACGTGCTCCCCAGAGTCGCAGGACTGCTGTCATACCGCCCCCTGGGAGCCAAGTGAGGAGACTGATCCCTCGAAGAATCCCTCGCGCTCGGGATGTAAGGACTGTAACGGGGAATGTCCATGTCCTCCTCCTCGTCGTCTATGGAATCGCGATTCGCCTGCATCACCTGCGCCAGCCGCGCTGCCGCGGCCTTGGCCGCGTAATTCTGGCTCTTCTTCACGGAGTTGATCGAACCCGACCCCGACCCCGCCCCCTGCCCGGATCGCGGAGGAGGCATGCCCACGCTTCTCTGCCGCCCCAGCAGAGGGCTGCCGTTCCTCTCCGCCATCACTCACACTCGCGATCCACCTGCGCTCCGTTCTCTCCCCTTCCAACGCCGCCCACGCCCGTCTCGCCGAACCAATGCCAACAACCCACCCTCGCGCACCCCAGCCCAGACAAATCCGTCACACCCGTGGATCGGCTGGGCGCTTAGGTCTCCCACTGACCCTTGCACCTCCACACGCCGTCCCTCACCATGTCAAGCGTGCCTCCGCAGCTCCACCAGCTCGGCCAGTGGAAGTACCAAGCGCCGACAACCACCGGCCCGGTCGCCGCCACCACCGAACTCTACCCCCTGCAAATGCCACACGCATACCCCGTCAGTGTCGCACATCGCTCCCAACCTCCTGCCCCACTCGCTGCTGCTGTCGCCTATCTGCAACCTCGCAACCCGGACGCAACTGGGAAATTCTACCAATCTCAACCTCCTCATCGACGCAAAGCCACCGCATACGCATTACCGCTACGACCTCACCAACATTGCATTCCTCGTGGCCCGTCAATTGAGAGTGCCAAACCGGGACTCCACCACTCTCCTGCCCACCGCCGACACTCCACCTGAAACAGAGCCGTGCCTGTATCGACCATCGCACAATCTCCGCTTCCCAACCCACCGTGCACAGATCCGCGACCTAAGCCTCACCACGCTATTGCCATAACGGCGCGTCCCGCACACAATCGAGCAAAACGACGAATCGTGCCAGATCCGCACCGCAATCCGGCAGTGCACCTTTCGCTCCACTTCTACCGCTTAACCTAACAGCTATCCCCATCTGTGCGCTCAACGTCACTCGTACCACCTCAAAATTGGTTAGGGATCAGACAATCCCCCCCGAATCTCCACAATCCGAACCACACAACCACCCAGACCCTGCAAACCTCCCACCCCCAATTTCTACGCCCGCTCTACGGAAACCTGGAGCTACGGACAGATAGGCAAAGGAATCCAGTCCACCGACTTCCGACGCCATCACCCAACTTCTCGACAAACCCATCTCCGATCCAGCGCGCAATCACCCTCACCGCGGGCTCTCTCCAATCCAATCACGACAAGAACGGGTTGCTTTTCCAACGAACCTGCTGCCACGACCACAGCCGAAGGTGGCGACTCCACAGGCTGAAAGCAGCTTCAAAGCTGGGGAGGCGTCCAAAGAAGCTCCAAAACCCACGACCCCTGCGACGGTGAGAAGCAAGCTCGTGCACAGACACGTCCTCCAAGGAGCACACCACTCTCGCGTATGCTGGAGGCGCTGCGAAAAGTTCAGGCTATGGCGAATGTGTGTGCGCATGCTTGTTTCCGGAAGTGTACATTATGTGCACGATCCAGGTAATCTTGATTGCTTCTTGTTCGAGGCTGCGCTGTCCTGCATACATCGCATCGGAGCTGCAATGTTGCTATCCATTGTCGGTCAACATTTCTTGCTCAAATCACTGCATCAGTTATTGTTGCGTTGGAAGAGAACACCTAATTAATTACCCATATCTATGATGTGCTCATTGTGGTGTCGGATGTAGCGACGAAGATCGATTCACTGTTCGTATGGTGAAGCACGTGCTCCGGTCTCTGCTTCGGCTGGTGCTGTTGGATGAATATGCCAATCATGAGTTTTTTTTTTTTTTTTTTTTTTTTTTTTTTTGGCGAGCTGAGTCTCCCTGCGATGAGCTGAATGTTTACTAAGTTTTGTTCAGTTGACGTGGAATGTTGTGGGATGCCACCCTTGCTCTGAAATTATCAATTGTGGGAAATTTTTCATGTGAGTGTACTGGATGCTTATTTTGAAAAGGATCAGGCATGGCGCTCTTGAGTCAACTGCCGATATGTGGCCAACGTCTGCAATCTTTGTACCGAATATATGTTGAAGATCACCCACTTCTGTTCCACATCCTCGTGCATCCATCCACGTTCTCACTGTAGGGAACGTAGGAAGACCATGTACTTTTATTACTGTTTGAGTAGATTAATCAAATCGTTTTGTTGGGCCTGCATTGGCCTGGTTGACACTGTGAGTATGAGATTCACCAGTTATTTTATGCGCATTACCGCGAGATACTTGAGTTATTTTGTGCACTTTATGGTATCAGAGCCAGATTGAGAGAGTAGGGTAGTGACCGGGATTCTGAACAGAATAGTTTTAGAGACTTGAGTCTTCAGTCCAGACGTGCCACGAGTGAATGATGGACTCAATCGTGGCTGCGAACAAGATTTTAGCAGGTCCAGCGAATCACACAACATAGTAAAAATCTATCCAAATTGTGTTAGAAAGAGAGGATCTTTGGTATGTGGTAGCTCCTCAGCAATCAAACACTGTGCATGGAGAAACCCCCGACATAACAGAGACTAGCCAAGTTTCGGATAGAAACAGCAGTGAATAGATAAGCTCCATGAGGACACCTCGTTCTGAGTTTTTTGACAAGGAAAAGACTCGTAGATGGAAAACAAAAGCAATGGGATTTTTGTGCCACTCTCTTACTGATATAGTAAAGCTTTGTGTAGCACGGATCTCAGATCCAACTGAAGCCTAGCAGATCTTGTGAGATTTGTATTTTAACCAAACAATAGCAGACGTGATGACTACTCTGGATAGGTGGAAAAACCTGCGAATGCCCGATAACATGACTGTAGCGAGCGTCATGCAGATTGTTCATGAGATCATCAACAATCTCAGAGAAGCTAATGAGCTTCCCTCCGACCTAATCATTATTTACAAAATCCTTAAAATCCTACCGCCCAAGTTCGAGACGCTGGTGCGGATCATTCGCAACGAACAAACACCACCCACCCTAGCAAAGCTGTCTGTCCGCCTACAGATGGAAGTAACGGAGATAAAACTTCAATCGGATCCTCATGAAGAAGCCTTTATTTTTTGGATCAGAAATGCAATTTGTGGCCGCCATCGTCACAATTTAGCTTTTGGCCCTCGACAGTTTGATCATTATAATTAACAAAGAAGGTCTAAGGAGGTGGAGTGTCACATGTGTCACAAAATCGAACACCTGGCTCGCTACTGCCTGGCACCAGCTCCGATTCCGATCACGGGGGGGAGCAGGCTGAGAACACAAGCAAACCTCATCAAAGATTACCCTGGTGAGTCCTATGATCCTACCCTAGAAGAGATCTAGAATGCATTGAATGTTCTTTTGCTAGCTTCAATTTCAAAGAAGGATTGGGTCATTGACAAGGTTGCGCCAAAGCCTTGAAGCATTTTTTGGGAGATCTTGATCTGTTCATTTTAGAAAGTCCCTAGCAACAAGTCAATGTGGATACTGCCGACGGACGTACTCACTCTTTGAAAGTGCATGATGAAGTAATTCTGCTGCATAATTCAAACATCAATAAATTGCATAACATTTATTATGTTCCTAACTTGGTGTTAGTAGGGCAGTTTCTTAGACAAAATAACACTATTTTGGTATTTGGAAAGGACAAGTGGTAGGGAGTTTTATTGGATATTATCTTTGAGAAAAGTTTACTTCAAACAATCTAAAGGCTTTTTAGTTTCAAGCAAAGGACATCTAGAGTACAGACTTAAAAAAACTTACTATAGTTTATGGCAAGTATTTAGATCATGGTATGTTTTGAATAAAAAGACTTTGAAGATACAACACTTGGCATCAGCAAGGTTACACACAAAGAGCAAATGGAGTAAAATGTCTCTCATTTCTAATACTTAATACTTATAAGTGGTGGTTGCTGCCTTAATAGACAACTTCTATTCTTGGACTTTTACACACATGGACTAGGATCCTTTGGCATCTCACAAACCACAATGGATCTTAAGTTAAATATTAATTATTCTTATCTAGTCTTTGGATATTTTCCAGTTAATTCTTTATCTTCTTGACTTTGACTCTTAGTCCTTGACATCGTCTTATATCCATAGGATGCTCTTTCCATATACCAAAAGTCAATTCTTTGACCATTAACAACTTATTTAAGATAATATCATCTACAAAATAATTTATTTTACTTTAATTTTTATTTATTTACTTTAATACTCTCATTTTGCTATTAAACAATGGTTTCAATCCTAATGTCTTTGTTAAAATGTAATATCTATCTTTTATTAATGCCTTTGTCAACAAATCAACTAGTATGTCTTTTGTTGCATAATACTTTATATCAATCACTCTTATTTCAATCTTCTCTCTTATAAAATAATGTTAAATGTTAATGTACTTGGTCTTTGAATGATGCTTTGGATTCTTTGCAAAAACAAGACATCTTTGATTGTCACAATTCATTGGAATTACTTCCATTTGTACCACTCCAATGTCCTCCAAAAGTTGTCGTAGCCATATTATTTCTTTTGTACCATGGTTTGTTATTATATACTCTTCCTCTATTGTTGATTTTGCAATTGTTAGTTGTCTCTCACAATTCTATGAAATAGCCTCTACTCCAATAAAAAATACATATCCTATTGTTGATTTTCTATTATTTTTATTTCCAATCCAATCCTCATTATAATAACCACATAAAGTAATGTTATCACTTCCATGACGCAATTTGAAATGCAAAGTATCTTTTAAGTATTTCATGATCCTTTTGATGGTTGCTCAATGGATTAGTCTAGCCTTTGACATGTATTGGCTTATAATATTCATCACATATACAAGATCCACCCTTATACCAGCCATTATATACATAAATGAGTCCATTGCTACTTTGTATAGAACATCTTATATTTGACCTTTAACTTCAACAAAGTCTTCATTTATAAGCTTCATCAACTTCAAACTGACCTCAAAAGATATATTCATAGGTTTACACACTTCCATGTTGAATTATTTCAATACCTCTTCAATATACTTGCTTTGACTCATTATAATGGTCTTCTTGGTACGATCTCTCACAAATTCCATTCCTAAATAATAATGAAGCTCTTTAAAATCATTCATCTCATATTTTTTTTTTTAAACTTTACCTTCAACTAATCCATCATCTTTAAGATATTACTTAAGATAATCAAATCATCAATATAAAAGATTACAATCAATATAAGTTCATTTGATTGTATTATATGTAAAGAATGATCAAATTCACTTCTTTTAAATCCTTCAATTACAAAGAATGTATCAATGCATTGATATCATGCTCTAGGAGATTGCTTGAGTTCATACAAGGATTCTTTCAACTTATAAATAAGATGTTGTTTACCTTTTATAAATCCTTGAGGTTGATCCATGTAGATGTCTTCTTTTAGATTTTCATTCAAGAAAGTAATTTTTACATCCATTTGATGGATTTCAAAGTCTACAGCTGCTCCAATTATCACAATGATTCTAATAGTATTGAATTTTGCCATGGAAACAAATGTTTCATTGAAATCAATACTAATAGCTTGTAAATATTCTTTGATAATTAATTTAGATTTGCATCTCATAATATTATCCATTGCATCTTTCTTCATTCTAAACACCTACTTACAACTAATTGAAGATCAATTTGGTAGAAGTTGAGTCAATTCTTGTATTCCATTGTCTATGAGTGATTTATATTCTTCTTTTATAGCATTATCCTACTTCATAGCATCCATGGATTTCTTAGCATCACACAAATTCAATAAATCACTAAAAAATACAATATTGGTATCTTTTTTATTTACTTAAGGAAAGATGTGGTTCATCTATTATGCATCAAGTTGTTTTCTATCTTTCAAACAATTGAATCTTCAAACATATCAAACAATTGAATCTTTGATATGTACTCACCTCCATTGTCAGTACATAACACTTTGAGCTTGCACTCACATTATTTTTTTACAAGAGTCTTAAACTCCTTAAACCTTAAAATCACTTACTTTTGGCTTCAAAAGATGTAAATCTACACCTTTCTTAAAAAATCATCAATAAATATGACAAAATATCTTATTTCTTTAATTGATCGTGTCTTTATTGGTCTAAAAATATTAAAATATATAATCTCTAATAATTTGCTTGCACATGTTGCAACTCGACTTGAAAATAAAGCCATTTGTTGTTTGTCTTATATACAACCTTTAGAAGCAAGTGGCAGGGTATTATAGCTGAGTTGACTAAGATCCAAGTCATTTATCATGGATTGGAGCTTC